ATCGTGGACACAGGCCTTTAAGGGCCAATGTCCACGATGATAAAAGTTTCGGGAAACGTGTAGCCAATTAACTTGCAGCTTTTATGGAATAGCTGCACGTTGATTGGCTACAGATTTCTCGAAACTAGAACTTGGACCAAGTTCTAGCATCGTGGACATTGGGCTTTAAAGGCCTGTGTCTACGATGCTAGAACTTGGTCCAAGTTCTAGTTCCAAGAAATGTGTAGCCAATGAACTTGTAGCTTTTATGGAACAGCTGCGAGTTAATTGGCTACACATTTCTCGAAACTAGAACTTGGACCAAGTTCTAGCATCGTGGACACAGGCCTTAAGAGAGGACAGGTAGTCGGCTAATCTCGGGTTACGTTTAACCAGAAAATGCAAAACCGGGCCTCGACAGGGCCCTGAGGACAAGTAGCCGTGCGGACGGAGTAAAGAGAGGATAAGAATACAGAGAAGATAGTAAGAAAGGAACAATTAATAGAGGCAGTGGACCGACGGCGTTCTCATAAAGGGAGAATTAAGAAGAAAAACTATGCGACCTTGTCTAGACAGATACTTTACCATGATGCCGTTCCACGCTAGAACACTCATGCTTGAGGGATCGATGAAGGAAGCTTCAGGTACGAAGTTCGGCATTAGGGCAACTAGAACGAAACTGCTGTCAACGTCAAGATTCCAAGATCTTGCCAACGTCCCCGGCCTGGTCGTCGTTGCTTACACCGTCGAAAGCACAGTATAGACGCCTCGCATAACTCGACGATGAGTCCCGTCCTTTATCGTTTCTCCGTGCCGGTGTACTAGCCGTTAAACGAACACTCGTGTTATTATCAATTGTCATCGCCGGCGAGCACTACGCAGTATCGTAGGGATACATAGATGACATCATAACCTATCCTATGATAATATTACATATATGTGTATACACGTGTACTATGAACTTGCCAGGAGACGGTGGAGACCTCTCGTGAAAATTCACACCCGAATACGAGAGCGAGAGAGAGAGAGAGAGAGGGGGCAGAAAGAAGGAGGACAACAGGTCGGCTCTCGTTCAACTTTTCCCGCATGTGCAATTATATTATTTTCTCTCTCTCTCTCTCTCCTCTTTTTTCTTTTCTTTCTACCTTTAGTAACTTTAATAAAGAGAGTTTTGCCCTCTCGCGACGTCTCGACGATTAATTCAGAACGACGTGTCGTTATCTTCGCCACGTGTCCCGATATCTTGATTTTTTTTTCTCTGTTGTGTCCTTTCCACGTCTAACATAAAGCCCGTAGTTCCGTTTGGGACGGCCGAACGATACGTCTTCTGACCGAAGAAAAATTTTTCAGAACGACGTGTCGTTATATCTTCGCCACGTGTCCCGATATCTTGAATTTTCTTTTCTCTGTTGTGCCCTTTCCACGTCTAAAGCCTAATCTACAATGTGCTCTCTGCGTCTAGAAACATTCTACTTTGTAGCTAATGTATACGTTTACAAAATTCATGCAAGTTGATAAATTTTATATTATACATTGTATAATCGTATATTGTTGTCAAATTGGTTGAGCGTTTTGATCTATTTATATAAAATATAGAATGTTTCTAGACGCAGAAGGCACATTGTAGATTAGACTTTAAGCCCGTAGTTCCGTTTGGGACGCCGAGTGTTAACGTCTTCTGACCGAAGAAAAAATTTTCAGAACGACGTGTCGTTATCTTCGCCACGTGTCCCGATATCTTGATTTTTCTTTTCTCTGTTGTGTCCTTTCCACGTCTAAAGCCCGTAGTTCCGTTTGGGACGCCGAGTGACACGTCTTTTGACCGAAGAAAAATTTTTTTTGATGCTGCGGGGTTGCGTCATCCGATCGCATCATTCCGCGCGTGGCCTGGTTACCAGGTCATTGCATTGTTTTAAACATTAGATAGTATATTGGAGACGGTAGTGAGGCAGGCTTCACCTCGGAAGATACGACATGCGACAGATTTTCCTGCTGACATTATTACTCGCGATCAGAGATGGGCGGCAGTAATTACTTTTGTCTTCAAATTACACATTTAATTACAATTTACTTTTACTACTTGTAATTGAAATCCATTTAATTACCCATTACTTTCAGCATTTGTATTCAAGTTCCATTCAATTACTAATTACTTTGAGCATTTGTAATTGATGCCCAAAGTAATTGATGCTCAAAGTAATTAGTAATTGAATGGAACTTAAATACAAATGCTGAAAGTAATGAGTAATTAAATCCCATTTAATTATTCATTATTTTGAGCATTTATAATTCGGTAATGGCCAATTACAAATTCGCCCATCTCTGTTCGCGATATGCGACGCGACCCCGCGCGACTATTGTAGACGAGGCTTAAGGTTAAGGCTAATGTTACCTTTGTCGTAGAAATTTTCAAGCGTATTGACTGCTGAATTGAACGGGATAAAAAGCATGCGATAGTACGAAATCTCCCCTTCAAAATGCTTTTTTACTCGTTTCGATTCGATGATGTTTCACTGAGATATGTGCATTTAAAGTAGAAACCGGCCTTTTTATTCATATATATATATATATATATATATAAAACAAGATACTGCGACATTTTTGCCCGTCTAATCACTCGAATGAGCTACAGGCAAGATCGTCCTGGGCTGCGTTCAGAAACATCACCCGAATGTCCCACTGTATCATTTTATCCTTGTTTAACATACGGTGAGCAACAAGGATAGAATGAAACTCTGAGGTACTCGCGTGGTGTTTCTGAACGCAGCCCTGAGGAGTTAGAAAGGGCATTAGGGGAAAGAATATTAGAAATTTTACCAAAAAATAATATACCCAGTGTAACGAACAAGCAGTACACATGTTTCTTCCGTTCATGTTAGGATATGCACGTTCGCGTTTGTTCGCTAATAACGATAATAAATAAAATTCATTACCAACTAAGGTTTATTACACCGTTCCGCTCCTTCCGTAGACTCGCCGCCATATATGATATTGTTCGGTCACGCGGTGACGCCAGGCGAGAACCAAGTGGTCACATCGCTACAGCGGTGGCGGAAGTAGGAGTGGGGGTGGCTTTAAAAAATCGACTATTTCCGTGGAAAAATCGATCTTTTGAATCGATTCTTCGCCGGTCGATTTTTGGGTGAATCGGGTCTTTACCCCTAGAAATCTTTAGCCTAAGTCCAATGTCCACGATGCTAGAACTTGGTCCAAGTTCTAGGCATCGTGGACATTGGCCTTTTTAGAATCGAATCGAAGAATAAAGGCACACAATACTATTTTTCCCACTGAATCGCTTACGAGAGTCAATAAGGATGCAGAGTTTCATATCAGGTGATTTAAGACTAAATCCCGATTGGTTTTACTGATTTATGGAAATCCTAAAGTCACTAAATATTAATTAATTTTATTTAATATTACCTTAATGGCTTCAACAGACCAGCGCGACAACGCGATGCGCGATGTGCGATTATCCAATGAGCATACAGTTTTCAGGATTTTCACAGAATGCAAATTATATACCTTTTATTTCTATTTATATACTTTCGCTTTATTATTATATTCGTTTTATTTCTTTACAGAGTATATAATTTTTTTACATACTTTTGCTTTATTATTATTATTATATAATTGATTCTCTTTCGATCTACCGTGAACCATCATGGGTTTAAAGACCGGTGCCGGATTCGTGCGGAACACGCGTGCCCGCTTGTTCTCTTCAAACACCTGCTTCATTAACTGTTCCTTTCTCTCAGCGAAATTATTAGAAATAAAACGTGTTCTTATAATTATAATGTGTAATTAGTTTTTAATATAAAGTTTTTAAATTTAAGACCAAATTATTTAATTAGATGGTTATGACAAAACTTTTCACGCATGAGCACGTGCATAAATACAATATATAGTATTATATAAAATTATACATCAAATCTGTCCACATATTTTTACATTGTATATTTCTATATAATTCTATACAGTTCTGTATAATTTTAGATAATACTATATAATACTAGATATTTATGCACGCATGCTCATGGATGAAAATTTTTTACGTGTACTTGTTTCATTTATTAATTGAAGTTTTAAAAAGTTTTTAAATTTTCGTTATACATATAAAAATAATTGCGATTTTTCAGATCGATTCATGCAAAATCGATTCTTTCACTCTGATTTTTCAAGGGAATCGATTTTCATCAATAGATTCAGATTTGACTCAAAAACCGATTCTTTTCAGAGAATCGAACATCCCTCAGGATCCCCACACTGGCAAACGTTCTCGCCTGGCATCACTGCGGTCACGCCCTCTGTCGGCGACCGATTAGTTCCGACCGGCGCGAACAGAGGGCACGAGCGGTTTCGTTTTCAAGTTACATAATATCGTATTTCATTAACGCTCTTCTGTAACGCAACCCAGATAGCCACATAGTTCTATAATTATTCTTCTGGAGTGCAAATATTGTTAATTTCAGAATATTCGATTATCCTATAAATATATTGTATATAGATTATTACAATTAGAAAATAACTACAAAAATGGAACTGAAATAGAAATTTTTATATCTTCGTTGAAACATTAATTTTTTTTTGTAAAAATATCTACGAAATAGTACCACAAATTACAATGTTCTCAAATCAAGAAATGATTGCAAGTAGTATTTCATGAAAATGTACAATTTTGTGAAAATTTGTACAAAACTTTACTAGCTTAAAAATTTGAGAAACAACAAAATCTTAAAGAATTGAAACATCTGCTTACTTTTAGAATATTACAAAAATTAACAAAAGTGTTCCAATTGTATCATTTTCATGTTGATTTTTATAACACTTTTTTAATTTACGTAGAATTTCTTAGATTCTGACAGTTATATTTTATAGTTTTGTAGAATTTTGTAGAATTATTCCCGGCAGGGATGTTTTTGGAATATTCGTTCAGAATAATTTTAAAATATTCCTCGAGTTTGTGTATCGCCTATTGTTTATCATGTAATACATTTATCTTATGCAAAAGGCAGTGAAACCTGTGATCATATACATATATAACCGACACGCTATATTCGATAGATTATTCTATTAACATTCGAAAAAGATTTCTAGTAGTGTCAATCGAATGTTCTACGAACATAAGATAAATATATAAAAATGACCTATGGAATATTTCACATATTCTTGAAGAATATTCTTAAAATATTCATAGGACTGTCTTGTGCTATCTGGGAATGGATAAGCTTGTGTCTATTTTATTTTATTATTATTATTAGATGCGAAATTTTGATTATGGAGATTCTTGTACGCATATATCTTGATATAATTTGGTTTAAATTTAGTTGTGATCGATAAAAATTTCATCTTGATCTCAGTCAGCAAAATGTTAACAGATTGGCATCAGAGTGGCAGCAGATTCATCAGAAACCCACACCAAAACCATAACCATCTGTTTTCGCATTTGGCTCTTGTTGTGGCAACAGAGTCTGTAAAACGTACGTTGTCAACAGATTGTCGGCAGAAACCGAGCAAGTCCAGTTACGTAATCAGATTTTGTTGTGGCAACAGAGTCTGTAAAACATACGCTGTCAACAGATTGTCGGCAGAAACCGAGCAGGTCCAGTTATGTGAGCAGATTTTGTTGTATTTCTAGTGACACGCCGGCAACGTGTCGAATATATCAGTTCCTGTATGCAATCTGCAGTCTTTCTGCCTTCAAAATTTGTAGTGGGCATTTGACGAAATCTGTTCTGACAGATTTGGCTATCTGGGATACAGATCTTACTTTCTAAAATTCAATCAGTAGATTATCATTGAAAACAGTGAATACTCACTGATTCACAGTTTTTCGATTTTCAGTGATGTACTTATAATTGTGAATCAGTGACTATTCACTGTCTTCAATGATAACTCACTGATTGACTTTTAGAGAGTACGGGGCGTATATT